CCTTCTGTCTCATCCTTCACGCGTCCTCTGCCCCGCGTCTCAAATTCTCTGGACGTGACGCGTTTTTATGCAGATGCATTCGGATACAAGTTATGCGAACGATATCGACATTTCAACGTCCGAACCATTGCGAATCGTAAGTTAGCGATTTAGAGGAGAATGATTCTGTTGGGAATGCGCTTTTGGCCTTTGTATCATCCTCGCGAAACGCATTGTTCGAAAATCTTTTCCTTTTGAAATGCTGCGCTATTTATTATTCGAGAGAAACGGGAAAAGGGAGAAAAGAGGATCCCTAGCAAGAATAAACTCAGATAAGTAAAACCTTTTGGAGACGTTGAGCAAGTGTGTAATTTTTGCCTTTTATATATATTGTTTTTTTTCCAGTTCAGTTGAGGCTTTTGTGCCGGTGACGGGTTTAAGAGTCAGTTTTATTGTTGCTTATTTGATTAAGACCTGGCGCTGCGGTGTCTGGCTCTTGTACTCAACTTAGTAAATTAGTAAACCCTTTTCTGGAAGTCGTCAAGCACGCAGGCAAAGGTAGGAGTGGGAGGGGGAGGGGGGGGAGGGGTGGACCTTGAACTTGAGAGAAAACGCGACGAAGGGCGTCTTCTGGCGGCGTATTTCGGCGAGGTTGACCTTTTTTCCCGCGGGAAGACTACACGGAGGTGGCGGTGAGGGTGGCGGGCCGGGGTGGTTAATGTTCATAGGTCGCTCTTAAACGATTTAATTTTGCGTTTGGTGTAAGCTCTTTGTTCCCCGAGGCACGGGCAATCTCGGCGCGGCTGGGTTGCTGTTGGGAAAGATAGGAGAAATAGAAGGGGCAAGGGAGGAAGGAGGGAAGAGGAAGAGATGGGGATAAAGATCAAGATGAAGGTCAGGATAAGAACCATCTTTACGGCCTTCCGTATGGGATTTAAGGGATCAATAGTTTCCCTAGTTTGTACTGAGGGGGGGAAGAGGTCACGTGATGTTAGGTCGGGTAAGGGGGGAGGGGGTACGGGGCGCTTCGTTTGGGGATCACAGTTTGGATTAAGTTTTGGGGGAAATATAGATTGTTTTATGGATATGAATCCCATAAAGGGGCGCTGGAAGGGGGAGGGGGAGCGGGTTGGGGCAGGGAGGGGAGGGGAGTTTCCTGTTGTGGGAAACGAGAGAGGCTGGTGCTTGGGGCCGCTGCGTGTGTGCGGGAATGCGCTTTAACTGAATGAACGGCGTACTGTGGTCATAATTTCCCCCCCTTCTCTCTCTCTCTCTCTCTGTCTATCTATCCATCTATCTCTCTCTATCTCATTCTCTTTCCTTCCATAATTCCTTCCTTCATCTTTTCTCCTGCTTTCTCTTTCTCCCTTTGTAGTGTTTTCCTTCCCATCCTCGTTCGTTGTCTCTTTCCCGTCCTCCCTCAAGTGTCCTTCCGTCTTCCCAAGGCCCGTGATCTCCCCCCCTATCCCTCCCCAGTACCCTCCCTCCCCCACTCGTCCTTCTGCGAGTCCCACCTGCTCTCGAGAGGGAAAATGACAGCCAATAAGACTTGAATCTTAAGGGCACCCCAGATTGGCCAAGACGCCCACCGTCGAGGGGGAACTTAATTGTTTTATTGCTTCCATTCTCGTAGGTTCGTCACCCGTCACTTCTCCCCCTCCCCCCTTCCTCTCCCTCGCCTCCCCCCCCCCCTTTGTGACAGCGACGGGTCGTAATAGGCTCGCTCGCCGGCTGTCGCTGTCTTGTCGGCCGTTGTCGTTTTGACGTGCTCGCTCTTGTCTCCGCGTCGTGTTCCGTCAGTCGGCTGCTGGCTGCTGCTTTATCTTAAGTGTCGTATTCGTGTGTGTCTATCGTGGCGCATTTATCTATCGCCGTTGTTTGTCTGTTGTTGCGCATGTCCTCTTTGAGTCTGGCTGAGCTGGTTGACGGGATGCCGTGTGGCCCTTGGGTTTGTTTTGAGAGAGGGGCGAGGGACAAAGGGGAAGGAGGGACCCCCTGTTTGGGCCGTCTCGTTTGACTCTGGTTCGGCCACTTTATTACTATTGTAGCATTGACTTTCGCCAGTTTTCTTTCCTTTTGTTTTTGTTTTTTTCTTCTTGGATGACCTGTCTTCCGCCACTAACTTAAATCTCCGTCTTCACGTGCACTTCTATCACCTCGTCCTTCTCATTCTCCACTTCTTCCTCCTCCTTTTTATTTTCCTCCTCTTCCTTTTTTTCCTCCTCCTCCTTTTTCGTCTTCTCCTCCTCCTTTTTCTTTTTCTCCCCCTCCTCCTCTTCCTACTCTGCGTTCTCTTTCTCTTCCCCTCCCTCTCCCTTCCCTTCCTCCCCCTGCCTGTAGTAATAATTATCGAAAAGAAAGTTGTTCACCGCCGTAAGAAATTCCCTTTGGCACGAACATATTTTTTTGCTAAGAAGATCGAGAAAAAATAAATGGAAATAAGACAAAAGGAAAAGAGATAACGGCCTTATAGAATCGGCAGTTGAATCTATATTTTTTATACCACGTTTTTTTTTTCTTTTTCTATTCATTCTCATTCTCAAAAGACTTTTTGATGAACAGCAGCAACGTGCGAGCCCCGATTTTTTTTTTCTCTCCTCTCCCTCTCCCTCTCCCTCCCTCTCCCTCCTCCTCTCCCTCTCTCCCTTCCTCCCTCTCTCCCTCCCTCCATTTCTCTCCTTCCCTCCCTCCCTCTCCCCATTTTTTGCGGAGGGAATGCGTCCTGAGAGCGAGTTGAGGGGAAATAGGAATTAGAAGAGAGGGAAGGGGGCGTTCCGAGTCCCTGGAGGTCAACTGAGGTTAAAAGAATACCTTTTCTACTCGTACGCTTTTTTCCCTTCCTTCGGGATCGACTTTGAGAGATCAAATTTTCCCCTGACTTTGCAAGTGTTCCGGGGATAATAGGAACGAGAAATAGTGCAGAAAAAATAGAGCGGATGCGCAAGAAAGAGGGGAGAGAAGAACGGAGGAGGAGCAGGAACAAGAGAGAGAAGATATTTAAACGAGAAGTGAATAAAAGATGAAATATGAAGAAATGGGAGGTGGTAAGGTCGCGGTGGCAGAGGGCAGTATATAGTGTTAGATGTATGGGCGCCTTTATGGGCAACACCTCGCTGGGTGATAATTGAGACGCCACGAGAGGGAGAAACTGGTATTGGGAAGGACGGGAGGGAGGGAAGGGAAGGGAAGGGAAGGGAAGGGAAGGGAAGGGAAGGGAAGGGAAGGGAATGGCGAAGAGAACAGAATATGGCGGTAGAGATTGTGTGTTCTTAGAGAAAACGCGACGAGAGAAAGCCCTCGAAAGAAGGGAGGGAGAGGAATCCGCCGCGGCCGTGCTATGGAAGAGGGAGATGGGACAAGGAAAGGAGGCGAGAGGCAGGGAAGAAGGGCGCTTGGCTATCTCATGTGTTTATGGCATGTCATTGATTCGCGCGTAGTTTATATGGGCGTGTAAGAGGTTTTCGGGCGGTTATGGGCGGGTAATAGCTTTTCTTGGGGCCTTAGATGAAGCAAGACGGGAAGGAAGGATGGAAAGAGGAGAATCAAAGAGGATGGCATGAAGAGCGTGGGCGAAGGTAGGGCATGGAGGGAAATGCGGGAAAGAGGTGAAAAGGAGTGACAATCTAAAGGTAGGACTTAATAAAGCGAGAGCAGGCCGTCGGGAAAGAAACGAAAATTAGGACTCCTCTGCAGTACATCATCTTTACGGCCCTCCCTCGCCCTCCCTCCGCCGCCCCGCCCGCCCTCGCCCCCCCCCCGCCCCGCCCGCCGCCCTCGCCCCCAGCCGGCCCCCGCCTCTGCTACTGCCGCTGCCGTACTCGGGTATGAATTTCCCTTGCAGGGGACTCGGGCTCGGTCGGCGCGGCGGGTAGATCTCCCTTGATTTATATGGACACGTGACCTGCATTTCCCAAACTGTGATCGAACATTTTTCCCGTTTCGGGGAATTTTTCCGGATGTTTTTCTCTCTCGTTTTCTTCTTTTTCATTTTTTAAAATTTCTTATGGTTGTTTTAACGGTGTTCTGGAAGCCTTTTAAATGAGGGTTCCGGAGACATTTTTTAATGGTTAGCGATCATTTTCTGGCTGTTTGGAGGCCGTCGCTAGGAGGTTTTTCTTTTCTTTTTTTGTGTCCCCCGGGGCGGTTTAGGGCTGCGGTTTTTATTTGCGGTTTGGAGAGTAATTAAACCATGTTCGAGGCCTTTTGTGTTTTTTCGGATAATCAGTTTCGAGTTTCGTGACGGAACCCGTATTTAATTTGGTGGAATCACTTTATTCGACTTCCATTGTGTCTCTCCTCAATCTCTCTGCACTCTCTCTCTCTCATCTCTCTCTCTCTCTCTCTCTCTCTGCTCTCTCGCTCTCTCTCTCTCTCTCTCTTCTCTCTCTCTCTCTCCTTCTCTCTCTCTCTCAGCTACTACCCTGCTCTTCATTCCTCGCTTGTACTCTACCTAGCTCCCTCCCCTCTCCTCTCTCCCCTCCCCTGCTCCCCTCTTTCCCGTTTTCTGTCGCCTTTTCCTCCTTCGCCTACCCTTCGGTCTGCCTTCCTCCTTCGCGCTCCGCCTTCGTCCCCTTCCGCGTTGCCGTTCCGTTCCCTTGGCCTTCCGCCTTCCCTTCCCTTCCCTTCCTTCCCTTCCCTTCTCTTCCCCTTCCCTCGCCTTCCCCTCCCCTCCCTCCCCTCCCCTCCCTCCCCGACTCCCGCCGACCCGCGAAGCCCGACGCACGTGAGTTGATCGTCTTCTTGACATTCATTGCAAAGGTGTTGTTTATGGTTTGTGGTTTGCTGCCGTTCGCTCGTTTGCGTTCGCGTGCGCGAGCCTTTGTTCGCGGGGCTTCGGGCCTGCATTGTGCCGTGCTTTGCCTCGCCTAATCAGTGGCTTTGCGCTATTGATTGCCATTGACGCAATCGGCTTTGTCCTCGATGCCTGGGGACGGAGAAATGATCGGGCGCCTTTTGTCTGCTACTTGATTAGTATTCCATTTAAGAACTGATTATTTACCCGAAATTCTTTTTCTTTTCAGGTTATGGTGTTGAGGTGGTGATGGCGGGTGTGGTGAGCGCCGGGGGCAGCAGCAGCAAGGGGCGCCGCCCCCTGGGTGCCCCCCGCGGGACCAGCAGCAGCGGCTCCCCCAGGTCCTGCTCCTTCCCCGTTGGCGGCGGCCTGCCGTCGCGCGCATTCATGCGGCCTTCACTGCTCGCGCTCTTTCTGCTGACCGCTCTCGCTCTCGCCTCGCGGCATACCCAGCGGAGTGAGGAATTACTATCCTCCTGTCTTGTATGTGCACTGCCTCAAGGCCTTGTTTGTGCCCTGAGATATAAAAGAGAGTGAAGATTATATGAAAGATGGAATGGAGTAGAAAGAGACGCGCTGAGAATATGCTTTGCGTGCATGTTTGAAAAAGAGGAGGACCTCTCTATATATGTATTTATATTAATATGAAGGTGTGCTCACGGAGCGTGTCAGAGAAGAAGAGGGAGGATTGTTCGCACTGATATGTATACTCGCACGCTAACGCAGGGGCGGGATTCACCTAAGATATAGATATAGTCAGAGCTGTTCGACGCATACCACAGTTTTGCCGTGATTCTTCCACAACTCTTCAGGGTGCTTGATCTCGTGTCCCCGCTTCGCGTTTATGTGTCGAGCGCTCGTGCATAGAAGATAGACACATTTAAGTGGAAATGTAAGAGAGTGTCGCACACGCATTTTAGGGTTACCTATGTGTGCGAGCAGAAGAAGATGCACGCGCTGCGCACGCGCGCGCGGTAGGGGTGGTTCCGGGTCGCGCACTACCTGGGTACAGACTCAGCCAATGTCGCCATAATACGCAACGGATTGGTTAGCTGAGTGGAGTCCTCATATATATAATATATTATAGAGAGAGGATATATAATGCGGTATGCATATATTATATATTACTGGATATAGATGAGATGTCGTGGATATACGTATGTAACACGGAGAGCGCTGTGATATATTATATATATACTATTTTTTTCTTCTTCCCTCGCCACCCATGCTAACTCACTCTCTGCTCGCTCTCTCTCTGCATCCTCTCTCTTCTTCCTCTCTCGTCTCTCTCTCTCTGCTCTCTCTCTCTCTCTCTCTCATTACTCTCTGAATCTCTCGTCCTCTGCCTTGACTCTCACTTCTGGTTCATCGTCTACTCTGTCTCTCAGTTATCATCTCTTTTGTATATATAATCTTAAGCTCTCGATCCGATATTTCTCGGTTAGGCTCTCTTGCTCGTTTTTTCTTCCTCTCTTCTCTATTTCTCTTCTCTCTTCTCTGTTTCCTTCTTCTTCTTCTGCTATTGTCTCTGCTCTCTTCTCTATGTTTTTGCTCTTTTGTCTTTTCTCTTTTGGGGGGTCCTTTCTCTTTTGTTCTTTCTCTTTTTGTCTTTCTCGTCTCATCTTTCCTCTTCTCTCTTTCTCCTTCGTTCTCTTTCGTCTTGCTCATCTTTCTCTTCTCTCTCTCCGTCGTCTCTCTGCTCATCTCTCTCTCTCTTCTCTCTCTCGTCTCGTCTCTCTCTCTCTCGTGCGGTCTCTCTCTCTCTCTCCTGATCTGCCGTCTCCCCTTCCCTCCTCCTGCCCTCCCTCCCTCCCGTCCCTCCCTCCCTCGCGCGTCCCTGTTCCTCCTCTCTTCCTCTCTTCTCTCTTCTCGGTCCGGTGGTCAGTCTCTTGTGCATCATCTCTGCGCTCCTCTCTCTCTCTCTCGTCTCGTCTCTCTCTCTTCTCTCTCCGCTGCCCTCGCCTCCGCTCCCTCCCTCCCTCCCTCCCTCCCTCCGCTCCCTCTATCCTCTACCTCTACCCTGCTCCCTCTCTTCCTCTCCCGTCTCCCCTGCCTCCTTCCCTTCTCTCATCTCTCTCTCGTTCTCTCTCGTCTCTCTTCTTCTCCGTGCTCTGCTGGCCTTCTTGCATGCATGCACCATCATCATTTTCAATCCTTCAATCTTGCATGCTTTCCTTCATCTTCTTCATCTTCTCTGCTCCTCCTTCTCCTTCTCCTTCTCTTGCTCCTCTCCTCTCTTCTCTTCTCCTTCTCTCCTTTCTCCTCCTTCTCTGTCTCCTTCTCCTTCCTTCTTCTCCTTCTCCTTCCTTCTTCTTCTCCCCTAAGGCCTCCTCCTCTCCCTCCCTTACCTCCTCCTCCTCCTCCTCCTCCTCCTCCTTCCTTCCTCTCCTCCCTCCTCCTCCTTCCTCCCGTCCCCTCCTCCTCCCCCCTCCCCTCCCGCCTCCTCTTCCTCCTCTCCTTCTCCTTCCCGTCTTCCTCCTTTCCTCTCCTTTTTCCCCTTCCTCCTTCTGTTTTTTCCTTTTTCAATTCCTTCTACTTTTTCCCTTCCTCTCCCTTCCCTTTCCCTTCCGCTGTTCTCAATTAAGCCCCGGAGAGCGAGGGGCACTGATTGGCACTGCTGATCAAGTGTGCCGGACGAGTCACGTGGCGATCCGAGTCTACTTTCTCCTTCACTCTTTCGCTCTCTTGGAGAGGAAGACGAATGGCAGAGTAAGAGGAAAACAGGCAGG